TAACTTTATCCAAGCCCCGTTTGTAAAAAAATAATTTTTTTTTCGTTTTTACTTTGAAATAATGAAGTATTATGTGTTACCTTGAAACGTTTTTTAAATTTTTCGAATTGGAATCTTAGCAACGAAAATATGATATTTTTTCCAAAAGAGTACATTTAAGGCTTTTTTTAGGCAATACACACAGTCTTTTTAGGAACAAGAAGATAAGATGGTAAAAGATTGTTCCTTAAATAATTCTGAACAAGCGACAAGCAACAAACTTCCATTATTTTCAGAGGGCATAAGCTAAGACCACTTTTTGAAAATTACATTTTTGTGAAAGTTTGCAAAAACTAAACCTAAACCGATATTTACTTTCGTAAAATGTTTTCTTCATAATTTTGACCTCCTGATTGTGATTCAGTTGTCAAATTTAAGTTTCAGATAAAACCAAAATCACTACGAATCAAGATCCGAAAATAATTCCCGGCTGTTAAATGTGTCAATAAAATCCGATTGCTGGTTTTTACTGTTTTTTTACATATCGTAAATGAGTATTTAAGGGACCACCATATTGAGAAAATGAATTGGCCACCTTTGTCTCCGGATATGAATCCTATTGAGCATGTGTGGAGCAGGATAAAATTGAAGATGAAAGAGTCCCTCTCTTTCATCTTGGGCATGGAAAATTTAGATGAATTGGTAAATGCTATTCAGGAAGAATGGGGTATCCAAGAAATTTCTAAGGAACTTGGTCGAGGGAATGCCCAGGAGGGTTAACGAATTATTACGGCTTAGGGGAGGGCCAACGAAATATTGAAAGGTATTATTGTTATTGTTTGTTACATTTTTCTGTTGAATGTTGAAGTTTTGATTATGATTATATCAACGCATACAATTTTCAAAAATGAACAAAAATATTTTTATTTAACTTTATTATAAATTAGGTAGGTACTTATCAATGATGTTATCACTACTGCGCAATGTAAATGTAAGTTATGTAACATTATCCTAACTACTCAAGCAAATTGCAGTAATTTTGTCCAAAAAATGAATCCCCAAACGGCATTTTCATCATAAATATGCAAGAAACACGACAGCAATCGGATTTTATTAAGACATTTAACAACAGGAAATTGTTTTCGAATTTTGATTTTTGATGATTTTGGTTTTATCAGAAACTTAAATTTGACAACTGAATCACAATCAGGAGGACAAAATTATAAAGAAAACATGTCACGAACGTAAATATCGGTTAAGGTTTAGTTTTCGCAAATTTTCACCAAAATGTCATTTTGAAAAAGTGGTCTTTGCTTAGGCCCCTCTTAAAATAATGGAAGTTTGTTGCTTGTCACTTGTTCAGAATTATTCAAGGAACAATCTTTTACCATCTTATTTTCTTGTTCTTAAAAAGACTGAATATATTGCCTACCAAAAAGCCTTAAATGTACTCTTTTGGAAAAAAAATCATATTTTCGTTGCTAAGATTCCAATTCGAAAAATTTGAAAAACGTTTCAAGGTAACACATAATACTTCATAATTTAAAAGTAAAAACGAAAAAAAAATTATTGTTTTACAAACGGGGCTTGGATGAAGTTATTGAAATTTTTCACCGTTTTACATATCACCCTGTAGGAAATTTACTTGAAGAACCGAATGCTTAATATCTATAGCATAAATTGCCAGAGGATGGGGTTAGCAGACATTACAGACCAAAATAAAATCGTTCAAGAAACAAAAAAGTTATGTCGTTTTGAAAAAGGACGAACTTTTTGGTCGCGACACATTGAGTGGTGCGCAGTTTAGTTATTATAGTTATTATATTCATTATAGTTATAGTTATTATACTACTATATTATGATGTGACTCACAACATGAGAGGTATCTTAAGAATAAATTTCCCTGTACCAATTGGTTTAAACTAAACACGAATAACTTATCAGCTTTAAAAGCTTTAAATAAATGGCGCACCAAAATGTTTATGGTAGGTATGTTATAATAATCTATGTTTTAGTTTTATCTTTCAAAATTTGACCGTGAGTCGTTGTTTAAAAAAAATAGTTTGTCAATAATTATTATTTACTAGCTATCCACCCGCTGGCTCCGCTCCGCTTTATTGTTTTGCATTATTAAACCTGAACTAGACTGGGATTCATTCAACTTAATAAAATAAAATATATGTACATACATTATAGATTATAAATACATACTCTCTTAAAATGAAATATTCAAAATTCTACTATTTGAATTAGTACCAGCATTGTTTACCAATAAAATAGTAGTTTTCACTTTTAAATAGTTATTTTTTACTAATTAAATAGTTAAAGTTTGACTTAGATTAGTCGCCATCTTTGACTTTTTCTAAAAGTAAAAAGTAACTAATTTCTTTTAATCGTTTTAAATTTTAACAAATTATTGTTAGAGTTAAATGCATATAGGCTCCAATTAAGCTCAAAGTGCTTATATTTATATATCTAGCGTACACAAGGTACATTAATATATATATATATATTAGACTGGTTCAAAAAAATCGAATATTTTTTTTTCTTCAAAGCCCGCATTAAAATATCTTCCTAGTAGTAAAAAAAGAAGCCTGTGAAAATTGTAGCTCTTAATATTAATATTTAGAGGTCGCTCATCGTGAATTTCTATTTTACGTTTAAATAACACAGGAATTCTTTTTTCTTAACTTTGAAATTTTATAACTCGTTTTTGAGTGAACGTATTGGAATGAATTCTATATATTTTTGAAGAAAATTGAACGTACTACAAAAAATGTCTCTTATAATTTTTTCGTAAATTCACTCCTTTAATAGTTATTCAAGGTTGAAATTATTCCAATATGTCCACTCAAAAAAAAAAGTTATAAAATTAAAAGTAAAAAAAAATTCCTCTGTTATTTAAACGTTACATTTATTATATGTCTAATTTCAACCTTGAATAACTATTAAACGAGTGAATGTACGAAAAAATTATAAGAGACATTTTTTGTAGAACGTTCAATTTTCTTCAAAAATATATAGAGTTCATTCCAATATGTTCACTCAAAAACGAGTTATAAAATTTCAAAGTTAAGAAACAAGAATTCCTGTGTTATTTAAACGTAAAATAGAAATTCACGATGAGCGACCTCTAAATATTAATATTAAGAGCTACAATTTTCACAGGCTTCTTTTTTCACTACTAGAAAGATATTTCAATGCGGGCTTTGAAGAAGAAAAAAATATTCGATTTTTTTGAACCAGTCTAATATATATATATATATATATATAAACTGTTTATTAACGTTTACGCTAATCAAGCGACTTGTACTTGCAATTATACAGTCTGTATTGCTTTGTTTTTTATTTTAATTGTATTTTATGGGTTTGAAACTATTTAAGATCAGATTAGGACAAAACTTATTATTTTAAATTTAAAAAATTTGGGACTTTTCCAAAATGAAGGCACCGTGAATCACTGTAAGTTCATATATATTCTGTGGTGTAGGTATATATACTTATATATAAATACAGTTTTCGTTTTTAATTAAACCTTATAAAAAATATAAATACCTTATCAAAATAAATTAAAAGACCCAAGTGTAAATAATTTGAGATAACATACCATTCGAGCTTCAGGTGCGCGTCAACTACGAATTCAAGCAACCTTGTATTTACTTGCAAGCATTATTTTTCACCGTGCATTCACGGTGAAGTTATTAATGTTATCTGGGTTTAGTTGGTTTGTTGTGGTTTTTTTGTAGGTAACAATAATAATATTTTTATAGTTATATAATATTATACAGCTCTTTCATACTAAAACCGAATATATCTATATATATATGGGGCGTGGCCTCGCCTCCCTCCAACGCGCGATATAGTAGCTAAGCAAATAGACTGCATCGCTAATGAGATTTTTTGCATTATTATCATTTAATTTTTTAAGTCCTTACCTGCTCGACCTTTCCTCATGTCGTTTATTACACAAGCAACTGTGACGCGCCTTGGAGGGAGGCGAGGCCACGCCCCATATATATATATAGATATATTCGGTTTTATTCTAAACAGGCTGTATGTAACTAAATGAATATTGCTTTGTTGAAAACTGTTGGTTGTTTTTATAGTAATAGTTACATGAAATCGTCAAAATATGACGTCAGTCGGGATTGAACTTAAGTCCCGCCTCGTGACTGTAGACGCTGTGTTAAATAATCATTAATGTTATTTTACAAAATTACTTAACTACAGTTAGGTATCTACTTAAGATGTACTACCCTATTTAAATATGTTATACCTCTAAACGACCTGAGCATGGATCTAATTTCTATTTTCCCATATTCACTTTAGGTGGCTTGGTTTAATACGTATAAAAATGCATACATTTTATTTCCATATGTGAACAATCCCCACAAATTGTGGGCCACAATTAAGATTTAATTTGTCTACACTTTAAATTGGTTTCAAATTTCATGTTTATGTTTTCTTTGGTATAACAAACTATATAAAAACTTAACTAATCACAACTTATTTTGGCGTATTTTAAAGATACCTATAAGTACTATAATTTTAAGTAAAATACACATTTGTGTTTATATATATATATATTTTTTTAATAAGTATTATTGAAAATTTTAACTAAAAAAATTTAACATTTATTCCGGCAATTATTTGTTAATACAAAATTTGAAGTGGCCAGAAGCAAAAGGGTACAAGTGCAAAAAAAAGAAGAGGTATTATCATGGGCGCCCATACAAAATTTTCCAGGGGGGGGCAAACAAATAATTTAATAAGTAGCAAAAAAATACCTTGGTTCCAAATTATATTAATACATTATACGTTATAAAATATATAAAAAAATAAATATAATTTACACACAAAAACCTTACCTATCATAATTAAATCGAAGGGTAAAGGAACAAATAGGTACCGAGCTACATTTTGGAAAAAACACTTTTTTTTGCACATAAACTCACTTAATAAAACAGCTTTTACTACCATATAATATTTATTAAGAAATCAACAAAACAAAACTAAAACATCTACTCATCAAACAGAAATTTTAAGTTTCTTTTATTTGCAGCAAACATATCAATTACCTTTTTAATTATAGCAACTTGATTTTGATTTACGTAATCCCGATGCAAACTTATTAGACAAAGCCCAGAAAGACGACTTTCTCCTATTGTTGACCTAAGCCAGGTCTTAACCCTTCTAAGAGTGCTAAAAGACCTCTCAATTGAACAGGTCGTAGGTGGCAAAACCAAAAAATATTGAAAACACATTTTAATGTTGGGAAAAAAATCGCATTCTTCATTTAAAAGTTTACCAATATCTTCTGTATATTTTCTATTTTCCCAAACTTTTTGCCAGGTTCTATATTCAGCTTTTAAATTTTCGACCCCAAATTTTTCTGATATATTTTGCAATTGATCATTAGTAAGAATTTTACCTTCTTTTATAATACTTGGATGAAACCATGATAATGAAAAAGCCAAAGTTGTATCCATTGCAAATCTACATTTAAGAGAACTTATTATTGAATCCAAATAGGGTATAAATAATGATACTTTAAAATATTTCTCTGCAGATCGACTTTGAATATTGCTTCGATGGATTTGACGACCGACTATTCGAGGAACCTTTATTTCGACATTAATATCGTTTGCTATTTCCTGACATTCTTTAAACATTGTGGAAAATACAGAATCTGCATCTTGTCTATCTTTTTCGAACATATCTATTAAAAGGTCAACTTGATTTTTTACCGAAAGTAAATCAATTACGATAGCTTGCAATTTGTTTGTCACGGGTTCCAGCAACGATGAATATTTAGAAATTACATTAAGACAGACAATAAATTGTGGAGAGGAAAGGGAACATACAATTTGATGTGCTTTGGACTTAGTATTGGCATTGAATTTGTTATCTAATGAAATATTTTCCAAAGCTGTTATAACAGTAGCAAACTGTTCGTGAAAAATTCTAATAGATTTATATTTTGCTGACCATCTGGTCTCACAAAATAAGGGTATATTTGGGATTAAACTTCGTCTTTTTGGGCTTTCTTTGAAAAAAACGATGGCTTCTTTAATAATGCCAATGGAATTTTGTACTACCTGCACTGAATTTAAATCGTTTATAACCAAATTTAGTTTGTGAGAAGAACAATGAAAAAATGTTGCTTTGGGATATTCATTTCTTATTAGTTTTTGTACCCCGTTGTCCTTTCCAGCCATTGTTGAACACCCATCAAACCCCAACCCTACTAGTTTGTTTAAATTTAAATTAAACCCTTTTAAAGATTTTAAAATTGAACTTGAAATACTTCGAGCATCCATTGCCGTTAATTCACTAAACCCCAAAAACTGTTCTTTAACTATATTATTTGAGTCTAAATATCTAATGCCGATAGAGAGTTGCTCTTTACCAGCAATGTCGCTCGTTTCATCGGCTAATATGGAAAAACCTAAACTTTCATTAGCTTCACGTTCATTTTGAACTCTGTGGGAAGTATATTTCGCTTTGCCTTTACATGTTTTCAAATGATTTTCTAAATATTGATCCCCACTTTCTATTCTGAAATTTATTAGCTCTTCAAAATTTCCATCATTATTTTTTCCTCTTAAAGCCAAATCACGCTTTCCACACAACAGAATAGTAGAAATAATAGACGTAAGCTTTTTTCTGTTATCTTCAATTAGTCGTTTTTCTTCAATATTTAATAATTCAGTAACACTAGGTTGCTGACCACTAGAAGTTTTCAAAAATTCGGTTGCTTTTAAAATTGAAAGGGCGTGCCAATCTGACTGAACATGTTTTTTTGCAAATTCATGCAATTTCTTGTAATTTTTGAAAGTACTAACAATAAAAGCACCCTGATAGCCTCTTTTTACAGGTGGTTTAAAAATACCGCAATATTTACAAAGTGGGCCTTTTAATTTTTTGGAATATACCATCCATTCATAGCTTTCTAACCATTCTCTTCTAAAACACCTTTTGTTTTCTGTATCCTTTTTAAAATCGTAGTTTTCAAATGGGACAAATGGACTTTTAAGAAGACTATATTTTAGTGAATCAGAAATATGTGATAATTCTAAATAGTTGCCTAAATCATTTTTTTCATCTATATTAGTACTTGAAGAGGCGAACGTTTGAAAAAGGGTATGATCTGTGGTATTATCAAGTTTTAATTTTTTTTCAGGAGGATTTTCACTACTTAAACTTTCAGTTTCAAGCGATTTTTTACTTAAAAACTTGCGTGTATCCATAATATACTATAATAAAAAAATACAATTTAAATACCTAGTTTATATTAAGACAAACGGTACAAGTTGCAAGAAATTTTTTTTTAATTAAATCTTTTAAGTATAATTGTGCACAATTATATTAACCTTGGTTCCATGGAGCCAAAGCCAAGTGAAATGTATTGTATTCAAGGGTTAATTTTTGTTACTAAAGTTTAGAGAGAAGAAAACATTTTAAAATATGTCAGTAAAATTATTTCCATTTATATTATTTCGAACCCACTGATTTTAAATATTTATTTTATTTGGAATGCTTTTAAAAATGGAATGCCTTATAAAAAAACTTAAATTTAAAATATATATTTATATAAGATTATAACCTTTTTTTATACCGTACCATCATTTGCAAACTATACATAGGGAAAATACATTGTAGGTGGACCAGACCAGTCGAAGTCAGCGCAAAGCGAAAAAGTTCTCAGAAATTATTTGGACGTAATAAAATTGTAATCACCAGTAAACAAGGTTACCTGTTACGTGGCATGTTAGTCTACTCATCCACTCGTCGGGAACATTTTCGTTTCGCGCTGACCGCGCCGACTTCGACTGTTCCACCTACAATGTATTTTCCCTATTTATAGCTTGCAAATGAAGGTACGGTATGTAAAATTATTAAAATTAAAAATCCCCTTATTAAGACCCTCTTAAATATATTAAATTGTAGTAAACCTACTTGCACTTACCTGAAATATGCTGAACTATAAGTCTATAACTATAAATAACAATAACAAGTTACACAACTTGTTATGACAGCTGTTTAATGCGCACCAGGATGGATTTTGGTGCGCACCACGATTTTATGTCCATGGTTGTCAGATTATCCGATTCAGATAAATGTAATGTTGCCAATATTATGTAGAAATAGTTCTTTTAGGTTATATTTGCATTACATAAAATAATGTTAATACCTAAATTAAATAAGTTAATATGTTAATTTTTTAATAACATCGTAATATTACCAAAATATTTCGCTGTTAAAATTAGTTGGGTTGGAGATTTCCAGGGGGGGGCAAGTGGGTATTATTAATTTTATTAAAGTTTTGGCTAAATACAAAAATCGAAATACTTGTTTCAATATTGTTGTTTGCATTAATCAACATACAATTTTCACGTTATGAGAAAATTTTAAAAAAATGCTTTAAACCACCCAATTATGCACTTTATTTATAAGTTAATATTATTAATTTGTATATGTCCTATATAGGTATATTACGCAAGAACATACTAAGATTGGAATTAGTTATATTTTTAAAATATTTTAAATAATTAGATCTATTTATTAATTAATTATTTTATCTATTCCTATATTCCTTTTTTCGTGAATAAAGATAAACATTATAAATTCACTGCCTAACAACGGCACTGATTATTCACGTTGTTAGGCATCAGTGATTTCAATATTCACTGTGATTTGAATCAATCAGATTTTAAAGTGGAAGAAGGCGACTATAATAATATTGCCAAATCATATGCTTTGGAAAATGTTAAATCCTTTTTCGAAAATAATCTATGCTGGGTTATTTTGCTTTTTAGCCCCGAGACCAATGAGTCCCTCAGATTATCATCCAGTCTTTTGTTAAATTTTTTAGTGCAGCTACAAAATGGGCAACGATCTTACCCTGCTCTTGTCTTTTTATTCGGAATTTTACTCTTTCCGCTATGATGGATGGTGCTGGTTCCAAATGCTTTGTCATTATTTCTACTGGATCTTTGTACTTTTTCATTTCCGGCATAAATAAATTATTTGGAGACTACTTAATAAAACGCTTTTTGAAGAATGAATGCCCTTTTAATATATTACCGTACATAAAAACAGTAGGTATAAAAACGTATTGTTTTACAATTATATTAATATAATTATTTAATTTATCACAAAAAGTAATTTAATTTAATCAATTAGTTCGTTAAATACGTAAAGGTTTACCTCAACAACAAGTCGCTACGAGGTTTAATGTGTCCGATGGAGTCGGTATGTAGCAACATACACGTATAATAGGGGAGGACGTAAACGATCCACAACTCATGCTCAGGACCGTTTAATTGTCCTGACTCTCAGAAGAATCTCAACATTTACAGCTTCAAGAACTGTTAGTTTATTCAGGCAGTCTACTCGAAGAGTGATTTCTTCTTAAACTGACAGAAGAAGGTTGTATGAATCTAATTTATGAGCAAGAAGACGAGCTACACATCCACGGTTAACGGGAAAACGGGCATGCAAATATCGTTGGGAGACAGAACACCAAAATTGGAATTTTTAAAATTGGAGGAATTGTCTTTTTTCTGACGAGTCAAGATTCCGTTTGTATTCGTTTGATGGTATGGAGGGAAAGAGGACAGCGATACAAGAAAAATGTTATGGCGCCAGCCACTCCTTTCGGTGGCGGACCAGTTTGCGTATGGGGAGGCATATGTTTTGATGGCCGGACTGACCTATAGGTCATACTAAGTATACTTATCTTTATTAATAAAACCATGACTGCTAAAAGATATCGGGATTTGGTTAGAGAGTCCATAATTGTGCAATTTGCAGGTGAAATAGGCGAAAGATTAGTTTTTATCGACGTTAATGCCCGCCCTCATCGTGCACAGCTTGTATCGGATAAAATATCATGGGATTACGAGAATGGAATGGCCAGCATGATCACCAGACATGAATTGCATTGAATACGTCCAGCTATTTAAATCGGCTTCAACAACCTCCCAAAACATTGCAACACATGCCTCGAAACCTTATAAATAACTTGATCATGAGTCTTCAAACTGGGTAACAGCATTAAAGTAACCAGGGGTGGTCCTACACGATATTAAACTTTTATACAGGTGGTGGCAATACCAGCAATACAATGAGGACCCCAAAGTAAGTCTGCTCTCTATTTACAGAAATTTCATGTATATGCCGATTTTTTTCTTGCACCTAAGCATTTGGCATACGTCCACTCAAGAGTCTTGAGTATTGAGTCAAGTCACATTACACATCTGTATCATAACGTTGGCCCTGCTAGATTCAGGAGCATCCTCGTTCACATTTGACGCTGCATCTGCAACAGCTTCTTTAGTTTTAAGAGGAAAAGGAGTTAAAGCTATTGCTGGAGTAAAGTCTTCTCCATAAAAAATATTTTATTTTCTTTTACTTTGAGGCACCAGAGGGGCTCTATTACCCCAAAGTATGTGTAAAAAACAAAATCTTCATAAAAATATTGCCAACGTTTTATAAATGATGAATTTGATAAGAAAAAGTATAAAATATTTATCTGCAGGCAAAAGATAAAATTAAATTGTATATTTAGATCATTTTTCCCTGTATAAATATAACTGTTTAATAAGATCGAAACGCCAAAAATAATAAAAAAAGATGTACAACTTAAACTATCGATAAAACTAACTTTAAATAATCTACATAGACTAAAGACACCATTCTTCAGATGGCCACTGTTATCTAAAACATATCTCTAACAACAGCCATAATAATACGGTGGGCCTGATTACTCGGTGGGCCCGATTACCCAACTCTCCCTAAACCAAGCCATCTAAAGTGAATATAGGAAAATAGAAATTGGATCCATGGTCAGGTCGTTTAGAGGTATAACATATTTAAATAGGGTAACTAGGTACTACATCTTAAGTAGATGTACTTAAGTAATTTTGTAAAATAACAATAATGATTATTTAACACAGCTCGCTGCAGCATCTACAGTCCCAAAGCGGGACTTAAGTTCGATCCCGACTGACGTCATAATTTGACGATTGCATGTAACTTCTACTATAAAACTAAAAAAACAACCAACACTTTTCAACAAAGCAATATTCATTTAATTACATATAATATAATAATACCGTATGATGAAGAGTTAATATTCTAAATTATATATAAAAACTATAAAAATATTATAATTGTTACCTACAATAAAACTAAAACAAACCAACCAAACCTAACACTTTTCAACAAAGTAATATTCATTTACCCAGATAACATACATTCACCGTGAATGCACGCTGATAAATATTTCTTTATATATAAAGCAATCAAAACGACGGATTTTAGAAATTTCGACCAATAAGATTCTTTAAAAGTAATAAAATTGCATGTTAAGAGGTGGATAAAATCGACTATTTCCCTCGTCTTAATTTCAACCAATCACAAACGCGCAATTTTGAATTACAAATGGTTTCTAGGTGACTATTCCACTCATTACTTTTTGGACCAATCAGATTTCAGAAAACGAGTGGTTTTTTCAGTTTTGCAGCGATAAAACTACCTACTATTCAGGTGAAAAAACCACTCGTTTATACTTGTGGCATAGCAACCTATTGGTTACTATGCGAAAAATAATTTTCAATGTTGACGTTTCTAATTTAAAAGAAAAATGTCAAAAAAAATGCGTTTCGGTCAAAAAAATCATGCAGAAATTGAATCCGCAGTTAAAGAAACAGTGCCTAAAAACACCAAAAAAACGAATACATCCATTTGGAAGCAATTTATGGATTTTTGTGAGGCAAAAGGATACCAGTTGCTGCAGTCTACACCACTAAGTGAACTTGTATATAGGTATATTAGAAGATTGTGCGTTCAATATGAAGAAGCTGGATGGGTCTGACTATAAAGAACACTGTATAAAGACGTTATGGAACGTGACAGCAAAGATGTTTCAAGAAAAATACTTTACAGAATACAACATTGTTTTTAATCCCTTCACAGACCTGCAGTTCCAAAAGGCGCGTAATGCGCGCAATGTCAAGAGGAAAATATTGCAAAAAGAAATTAAATATCAAAAAGTTAGTTCAAAAGCACTTGATATAAGAAATATTTACAAAATGGTGTCTCTTTGGGATGAAAACTGCCCGGATGGATTGCAAAGGAAGATTTTTCATATTTGTTCTTTTGAACTTGCATGGAGGGGCAATGAAGCTGCGTACAGTAAAATACATTTTTTCAAAAAAGAACTAGATTCAGAAGGAAAGTTTATGGAAAGAATTGAATATAATACAATATTTTCTAAAACAAATCAGGGAGGGTCAAAACAACTGTCAACGAGCAAATGGCTAGTTAAAAACAACCAAAAACCAGAATTTTGCCCTGTTCGATTGCTTTTAATGCTACTGTCAAAAAGAGGTAAAAACATTACAACTGACAGGCTGTTTATTACACCTAACCCAAACTGGCAAAAAGGGCCCTGGTTTAAAAATTCTCCACTGGGTGTCAATAACCTCTCTAAATGGACCAAAACATCAGCTGAAAAAATAGGTTTGGACACCAAAAATAATAAAATAACTAACCACTCCCATCGTTCTTCGGCTGTTTCCACATTAGCCAAGTAAGGAATAGGAGAACAACAACTAATCAAGATAACTGGGCACTCGCACGGGCAGTCCATCAAACCTTATCTTCAGCTTGATGCAGCACATCATTCTAATATGGTAGAAAAAAATGAGACCAGTTGAAGTGGAAAATCGAATTGAAGGTTCATCTTTTATTCCCTTCACAAATTCTTTGAACACAGTTCACCATGAACATCAAAACCAGCAAGCTGCTGTTTATCAAAACTGCAATTTTACTATTAATAATTATTACAAATGATTTTCATATTACATTTTTGTTAGGTTTTGATTAGTTTTTCTAGTTTGTAAGTTTGGTTAGTTTTTGTAGTTTCATTTGAAAATTTAATGCTTGAATAAATATTTAATTAAAACCTTTTTTGTACCTAAAAAAATATTCGTGAAATAGTCTTGCCGAATACCACTCGTGATAAAATTTTCCCTGAAAAAATTTTTGATTTTTATTAACTTATGATTTTTCCTTGGAAATTACGCAAGTGGCATTATTTTAAAACCACTCGCCTAGCGGCTCGTGGTCTTAAAATTTAATGCCACTTACGTAATTTCCAAGAAAAAAACATTCGTATAAAAATCAAAAATTTTATCGGTAAAATTTTACCACTAGTGGTATTATATACGAAAAAACTGTATGACAGCACCTGTCAGCAGTTTTTTCGAGTTTACCCGCGGCAAAACTTGACAGCTGTTGTCACCAAAAATTTCAATTTATATTTTAATTGTTAACTGTTACTCATGAAATAGTCTTGTCAAATACCATTCGGACATCTAATTTTTCCTGTGAAAAAAAATCGAAAAAACACAACAAACACATTTAATTTTATAGTAGGCAAATAAAAAAAATATTTTCTTTATCAATAATATTATTTTTAATAAAGTAGTTACTTTATACTTTATATTTCTTTTCAATTAATGTTATATATAGTTTAAGTGAAATCATTAGTTTTTTTGCAAATTAAAAAAAATATTTTTAGTGAAAAAAAAAATTGTTCTATTTTTTTGTGCCTAATGCATTAAAATATATCCAAATATAATTTCATTTAAGCTTTGTACAACATTTTTTCTTTAATGGAATGCAATGGACGTCAGGGACATGCACAATACCAAAATCGCATGCGCAATAAGAAAATAAGGTCGTGTTTTTACTATTGCTCTTGTCCCTCACGTCCATTTGAAAGTTTAAATGCTCGGAATATTGATCAATTAATTATTTTGCGGCTGAATATATGCAGATAAAAACTAGACATGCTCAAAAGACGCGCAATAAAAAAAAGCTTATTTACTTTACAAATTGGGTAATTACATACAAATTATATCAAGGTAAATACATTTTTATAAATAAAAAAGATTATAAAAACGAACGATAAATTAAAATTGCATTATTATTCACATA